TCGTGCGAGCTTCTCTACGTTGAAGCAGAAGTGGACGAAAGTGGCTATTTCCGTGGGCTCGGTCCTGTGAACGGCGATCCTAACGACAAATTCTATTACATGCAGAAGGCTTATCTTGAGGCCATCTCTATACCGGAGGCTTGGAGTATCCTGGATTCCACTGCCAAGAGGACGACTGTGACCATCGCAGTTATTGACGACGGAGTCGAGGCCACTCACCCTGACTTGGAGGGTACCGTCATCAAGGGCTACAACGTCATTGATAAGAATGATGATACCCGTCCTCGAGGACGGCATGGGACCGGCATGGCTGGCATCGTTGGTGCTATCAGAAATAACATGATCGGTTTGGCGGGTATTCTGGACAGTGTGCGCATACTGCCCATATTCGACGGTGAAGTTCCGAGTTTTCCCGCAATGGCGGATGCTTTCACCTACCTGATCAATAAGAGGAAAGATGATGTGAAAGTTATCCTCATGACGGAGGGATCCGGATCGAGTAGTTCCCAATTCGTTACCGACAAGATTCTGGAAGCAACTGCAGCTGGCATGCTCGTTGTCGTCGCGGCAGGGAATCACCACTTCGATTTGGACATAACTCCAGACTTCCCTTGTTCCTTCGGCCGTTCTCCTACTGATGGAGTGTTATGTGTAGCTGCAACGTATGGTACCAAAATGCAGCTTACGGACGATAGCAATTTCGCTTTAGCTGTTGACATTGCCGCTCCAGGTAACGAAATAGTTACAACTGATCTCAGAGGGAAGTATGCCACAGCTAAGCACACTTCGCCTGCCGCCGCTATTGTAGCAGGTATAGCTGGGATGCTCTAAAGCCTTGAACCCTCTCTGAAGACCAAGCTGACCCCTCCTTACATCAAAAGTATCATCAAGGATACGGCCACGCAAGGTCTCAAGGACAGCAAAGCCTTTACTGTCCTTGAGACCTTACTGTAAAGGGGTCGAGACCCTCCCCTTCGGCCGCGTGAATGCTGCGGCGGCTGTCAATAAGATACTTGGAAGAAAGAAGGTTTAATTTTTCGCCCTGACTTCGTCCCATAGTCAATGACACCGAGTTATTGCTAACTTGTTCAGTGAACTCTCGTCTAGCTCGATGGCCTCTCCCTTGCTCGATAGATCATTTATTTATTCGATTCATTTATTGTGAATGTGAAGGTATGATCGTCAGACCTTCGATCGTCAGAGTCTGATGTCACATGCGATCGTAACGCTGAGGATCTGATTAAGATGATTCTTTACGCCCAACTGTTGAGTTTTGAATTCGCGTCGTGAATTTGCGCCTGGGTCGGTCTTACTTCAGTAGGCAAGAATTGGCTCGGTGTTCCAATTATGAATCGTTCTGGGAGATGCTGGTGCATCGTCAACGATCGCTGTCCCAACCCCCCGTAGCACACAATGTGTCTTTCTCGGGTGAAGGAATCCCTTAGCTGAGCTCATGGTGAATATTTTCCACATTGATTAAGCATCATCAAGCTGCGGTTTACGGCATTCCCCTGCTATTATATCCAGTGAAGTGTTATCCCAATAGGTAAATCATTAACAGTTGTGAAACTGGGAACTGGACTTGAAAATCTCAAGTTGCGATATATATCAACTCTTCCCGATGAATGCAGTTTGAGAACGAGATCTGAAAACAGGTTAGGACTGCTGAACTATCCTACTGATTATAGTAAATGCTGAAAGCAGTGGAGTTTCGCCCGTTCTTCGTGAAGTGGCGTCATACTCCGGGAAAAACGCAATATTCGCGATATGTAGTTTTTCATTAGTGTTTTTCATATTATGGGTGAAATTGCAGTAAAAGGTAAATAAATCCAGTATTGTTATACTATGGCACATCGAAAGCAGAATTAACTGTTATCATACCCACACGTACCGTCTAGAGGGAGGTTGTGTTCTTAGTATCTTGGACTCTGGGATTGATTATGTGAATGACTCATCCGATAGCTACAGCGTGGGGAGGCATTTACGTCCTCGTTTATTGAACATCATCTCAGAAGCGTTTTTTAAAATCGATTCTCAGCAACGTTTCCAGAATTGCGCGTAGCCTTGTCTATTGAACGGGCGGTCAGTTTGCTGGTTGGACTGCCTTCGGCTGTGTTCGGTGGGAACTGCTCAGCCAATTTCTGGTTGTAGGGAGTAGAGAGGCCCTGTCCAATTTGGACGTTGCTATCGAGATATCCCCCCGTACGTCAAGAGGCTCTTGGAGTGCCCGTTTCCCTGGCACGTGTTGTGGGTCCAGTTTGCCTGCACCCTTGTAATCTCATCAAACCTTCGCCTTCCTCAGTATAGCGAATGAACCCAATATCGATTATAGCGAATGAGCCCAATATCGATTACTGTGCTGCTAAGAGTGTGTGTATTCGTACAGAACTTAAGTGCAGGTAGTGCGCTTATTGTTATTGTCCTAGGGTCGTAGTATTGGTTGCTCTAGCTCGAGTTCCCTTGTTGTGTTGTTCTTAGAGTTCATCAATCGATACCCCGACACACGTGACCGGCGTGACGCGTGACACGCGTCGCGTGAATATGCCAGACCGCTAGAGGATCCCTTTCTCCGATTTCCGTCTGACTTCCCTCAAATTTAGAGTATAAGCATCCTATCAAGTAGTTACTCCGTATTGGCCGCCAATAATTGGCGTAGCGGAGGTACGTCGTTGTGACCATCACTCATCGGCATTGTGAGGACGCAGGTGATTAGGTGTAACTTCAATGGAGTCATTCCACGCTGCAAACTTCTTGACAGCTTCTCGTGTAGTCGTTCTATCATCCCTATTCTCCATGTGGGCTTCTACAAAACTCCTGTGTCTGTACGCTTTCAGTGCAGCTGGTGATGCAGATTAGGGTGGCACGAATTACTTCCTTCCAATTATTTCCTTCCATTTCCTTCGGAAAGATGAAGGAAATTTAGAAAATTCTTTCGGGCAGGAAAAATAGGAAAAATAGGAAAAATAGGAAAAATAAAGAAAAATAAAGAAAAATTTCCCGAAACTGCCATAAATGGGCATAAAAAAGCCAAAAAACGGCAGGTGATGTCTATGATATATGCCTGTGTTAGTGGTCTCGGTTAGACCGAGTATAGGGAAACCTTGTTCGCCAGGATGATCAAAGATTTTTGTGGCGAGCGAGAATTCGATTCGCACTTTCACTGGAAGGCCCAGGTTGCGGTTTCGGTTATTGCGTGGCACTTCACAGTGCGAGGTTCGCACCATGATCATTTTATTCAAGCGGGAAATGCTGCACTCCCACAAGCACAACACGGTGAAGTATTAACGTAGCATACTCCAAAACACACGGATAGGTAACCCTGACGCAGGCAGTGGTTCTGTAACCGGCCGCAGGCTCAGAGTCTGAGGCTCTGACTGGATCAGTAATTGCCGTTACGGACAGTCCGAGCTTTGCACCTCGCTTCGCATCATAACTCGTCAGTGTTCCCATCTGCGTTCCTTGCTGATACGCGCGGTCGAACCTGTGAAAGTGATCGAAATTGGAAGGTTTTATTGGTGACTATAAGACATTTCCAATGCTGGCCGCCGCGAGGACTGCCGTTGACAAAAGTTTTCGACAATCCCCTTATTCGAGAAAAAATAAGACTGTTGCTGCTGGCATACATGATGGGCACGATAAAACAGAGGCAGAAGTGGTGATGGTAACGAAGGGATGCAGACATTAAAGAACATTAAAGATGCAGACAATCAAGAAATGTCCAACGACAGCTCTAATCACCGAGCGTTGGAAACTTTCCAGTGGAAAGCGCGCTTGTTCAGCCGCTTAACTTTAGCGCCCTGGTCTCCTCCAGTGTGGATATCTCACATATCTTGTAACGCTTTGAATCAGTTACATCTAATCAAGCTATGAAACATGATTAGTAAGCGCAAATCATCTGCTAGCAGCCTGATCGAATAAGACAGTGACGCTCTGGCCTGCCAAACCTGGCAGGCCAAGCGGAAAAATTTATTTTTCCGTATTTTTCCGTATTTTTCCTTCATTTTTCCTTCAAACTTCAAATTTCCTTCCGAAGGAAATAATTTTTCTATTTCTCCTTCCGCGTGCCACCCTAATGCAGATACCTATACGGGCCACCCGTTGCAGTTCTACAAGCAAGTGCAATATCCTTGGAATATCAAAGAAGAGCCATACTGCTGGAACCGATCGATTCCAGATTACCAAAATTATACTTGGGATTACTATTTCGACTATCTCATTAGCTCTGGTGCTAACTTACAGCTGGGTGGATATGTGATCAACGAAAAAAGCGAAATCAAGATGGACTTCTACGGCCCTTGGAGCAAAACTGGTTTCAAAGCTCTGAGGAAACGAGCGGATGCGGCCGGCAGAGTGATACTGGCCCAGTTGGGATCATATCTCAAAACAACCTTCGACAAGGCTTCTTTCATGGAGAGTGCCAAAGAGTTCGTGAAGATTTTTCCTGTTGACGGTTTCAGTGTGGGCATTAGAACATCCGATCCCAGTAGATACCAACTTGTGAAGGAACTTGTCGCGGCTATTAAAGAGCTCAACCTACGGCCCGTAGGCTACGGGTGTCGTTATGGTGAGTCAACAAATACCTCGGAGCACGGGAATCCTGTTGTGATCACTGGCTCCAGCAGTTGCTTCGTCATGTTAGGTTCGTAAGGCAGGTTTATCACCCGCAGGAACTCAAACAAACCGGCATAGGGAAGATGGTCGATAATGCCGTTCTTCTTCCGTGGCCAAGTGACACGAACGAGTCCATAGAAAACTTCAATACGAACCGTGTCGCCGAATATATGATCAAAGATGCCGTCAAAGCTGGTGTAGATTTCAACAAGCTTATTTTTTACGTAAGTGTACACGACTCCTAAAATCTTCAGTACCTTGCGGCTTTTCTGCAATAGGAAGTTTTCTATGGAGTCACCTTCTGCATTGTTGGCGCGTTCGCTGAAACGGACCTCACAACTACTGTGTGGCGTGAAATCCAGTGTTGCTTTTTAGATACCACTAATCGCTAGGGCAACCTACTCCAGCTCGGTCTTGGGATACTCGAATGTAATCTGCTTTGGTGCCGACCCCAGGGGCAACGGATCAGTCATCTTCCCGGATGGGAGCGGCTACTATTTCTTTTCACAAACTCGTGCAATCGAGAAAGTTGACCTGGCAAAGAAGTACGGACTGCACGGCGTTGGACTACAAGGCGGCGAGTCTAGTGATAATGATCTGTACCCTTGGGACACAGACTCCTTGTTTCACGCTATTGCTTCAACTCGCGGACGATCCCTCACAGAGTAGTACGCAGGTATTTCTAAGGGGCGTCTCTGAGAGGTAGCCTCTCAAGCTGAGCTATTATCACATTTCACTTCAATGTCCAGTGGCAGGGTGTGTCTACGACCTTGGATGCATGATACGTGATGCAATAACAGCTGCTGATGGTCATTGATCATTTCTCTCCTCACCTTTTTCACATCGAACTACCGCCAGTTCGACAACACCTTATATCGCTTATTACGGGAGAAAGCTTTACTTCCCGCGAGGGATGTACTTGAGTTGGAAAGTTGAGAAAGAGTTGAGATACAGTTTCTCAGAAGCTGTTGCGGCGCTACTGTTTCATTAACCGGTATATTCAATTCACCAGATTCGGTGATCGGTCCCGCCTGTAAACAGTGAATCCTGGAAAAGGTGAAGGGCGAGTGAATCCGTTGTAGGGACTTTTTCTCCCACTAAAGCGGGTGAAAGCCTGACGGTAGTGGACACAGCCTTCTGTCTCCACCGCTGAAACCTTCACATCTATCAATTCGAGAACAACATTGAAGCTTCACCACCGTAGTGATAAAAAACACTAGTGAAAAATATATTTTACGAATATTGAATATCACGGTGATATTATCACCGCAAAAATCGCGTTTTATGCCACTTCGCTTGAAGTTTAAGCCTTAAACCGAATGAAACTCCAATAAATATTCCCTTCGGCTCCAGGCTGGTGGGGGAGGGAGACTTTCCCCAATGCAGCTCGATACACACATAATGAGGAAGTATCCACAACTATATAGATTACTGTAACAGTGACACTGTTGGAGTAGGAATATATGTTCGCTTTCCTCGGCTGAGTTCAAGAGTTTCCTATACAGTACTGGAGTAGGAATATATGTTATCGCTTTCCTCAGCTGAGCT